CAACCCAAATCAAGATACGTATTGGATAGGTATGATATTCTATCTCTAAAAAATATTAGAGACTAAATTATTGAGGAAAGGAAAACAAAATGCAGAAAGAGTCTATACAAATTTTACGAAAGATACCATGGAGTGATTGTCCATAAAACGATTTCAGTAGATATAACAAAAAATAGGGAAATGGATATTCAGATTTCTAAAAGATTACGAAGAGTGATTACCAAGACTATTTTTTTTTTTTGTTTACTCAGCAAAAATTCAATACACCATGGCACATCCAGCCTGACACTTTAACTGTTTCATATACTCATAGCAGACATAGATAAAAACATTAGCCACAGCTTTATATCATCCTTTGTTAACAATACCACGTTAAGCAAGAAAGCCCCCCCAGTAAAAAGATTGAAAAATTATTATCAACAATGTTTTCCAATGGGCAATTTACAGCAAGATGATGTTCATTGGTGATAAATTCTAATAATAAGTGTTTATTTCTTTGAGCCATGCAAATAATGTAATTAAATGTATTGGTACAGTAGTAGGCACAAAAGAGTACCACTGATTATGCAATGCATGTCAGGCAACTAATCATAAGGCTTACGTGCTACTTAAGAACATGCTGATTGTGTAGGATTTTTGTGAAGTTTGCTAAAAACCATAAGTGTACTAAGAAAGATAGTTAATGACAAGTGGTCAGTTGCAGAAGAATTGCATATATAAACTCAGTGAACTTCAGTTTCATGGAGTGATTGAGTAGAGACAAAGAAGATACAGCAAGTTTCTTAGATTACAGTACAGATAAAATGGGACAAGTTATGTAGTGAATTATGTGTGGGAGTTGAAGGAAGGCTGGAAGAATGGGGACAGAACTGGATGAAAGCTGGTTTTGTTTGACATAGTGTATTACTGTCTAGATTACAATAAGGAGATGAGGTACTTTTTAACAATATGTATCTCTGAATCAGCTGGCAGATAGGGGACCATTTGATGCTTCAGACAGGGAGTTCTGAATCTTGGGGCCTTTTATGCATACTGAGTTTTTACACAGGTTGAGTCAGACATGGGGGATGTCAGAGTTTATTTTTGTCTTGTGCTATGATTGTGTGTTCTGTTGTAGCTTTCAAGGGAGAAGGTTCAGAGAAGAATTTATATTGGAATTAATTGACCCTCAACTCTCCCCACTCTTCTTCTTTTCTTCTCTCTTCTTCCTTTCTTCTTTCTTCTTCTTTTCTTCTCTCTTCTTCCTTTCTTCTTTCTTCTTTCTTCTTCCTTTCTTCTCTCTTCTTCCTTGCTTCTCTTTTCTTTGTTTCTCCTCCTCCTCTCTTCTCCTACTCCTCCTCTTTTCTCTTTATTTAGTTGGTAGTATGAGTGCATATTGTGTATATTAAGTAATTGTAAGCTTTTGAAGAATGGGGAAGTGTGTTGTCTGGCACTCAATAGGGTAATCGTTCACAGTGACTTTTTGTTGTTGTTATTGGTTTTAGGCAATTTGACATAGTAGATTCTAGGCACAAATACCATAGGTGAAATAAGGATAGATTAGAGAGTAGTACAATGTAAGTAATACTGTTTGAGGTATACAGTATCTTGAAGAGATGCCTATTGTTTTGGGGACCTTCTTAGTTATGTGTTGCACCTCGAGGTGCAGACCTAAGAATTTTCACTTGGTTTGTCTTGTACTGGAAGAACTGCTAATCATTGTTTAGTTGGATATTTGTAACTCTGTTTCCAGACATCATGTAGATGGGTTTATCAGTATTAATAGTGAGTTTATTGCTAGTCATCCTTGTAGATAACAAAAAAAGGCACAGTACTGTGACTGGAACAATACACAAATAACCTGCCGTAAGCTCCTCTCTTCTATGTACAGGTTATTTGTGTAATGCATCCTTGTAGATATTTTTTGGACTTCCTCATTAATTGTTGTTGAAAGAAGTCAGATTTGAGTAGATGACAAAAGTTGTGTCTTCTGTAAACAGAACAGGTTCAAAGAGATGAAATGTGTTGGGGAGATCATTACTGTACATGAGAAAGAGCAAAGGGCCAAGAACACTGCCATGAGGCATTCCTATGACAACAGACCAAGTTGACAAGGTTACGCCATTGATGGAAACATACCGGTGTCTGTTACAAAGACTTAAAATATGCAAGAGCATGACCTCTGATGCCAAAATGTTCAATGTAGCTTCTGGATGTACATGCCTGGAAGAGGTTAATGTGGATACTGCAGATGTGGTAATGAAGTTTTGCATAAGGATAAGGCAAACTAACCAAAGGAATTTCACGAGTCCCTGAGGAAGCGTGTTCTTAGTTTAAGATGCTGGATGTTGCAGTTCACCATATCAGATGCTTTCTGCAGGTCTGTGAAGAGGTACAGAGGATATTCATTATTTTCAAGAACTGCATAAAGCAGTTCAGGCATTTTTATAATTGCATCGTTTGTACTTTTGAGGGGGGTCTAAAACCAAACTGGCAGGGCATGAGTATATTTTGAGACACTAGCAAGGAGTACTCACGTATGAATTATTTTTTCTAAGATTTTAGATAATGGCAAGTTGGATATTGGCCTATAGTCATTTACCTTAGTTGGATTGCTTCCTTTTGTGTATTGGGGTAACCCTTGCTATCTGTCTTAAGTGTTGTCGGGAAAGTTCCAGTTTCTAGAGTACATGAGCTGCTTTTTTGTACATTAGTGGCAGTAAATTAGTTAGGTTTCCTGTCTTGTTTTTCAGTGAATTTATTATAGTTGTGACCTCAGTAGGATTAGTTGGAGCTAAAGTGAGCTGGGAGAACTTCCAGTAAGGTAGTCACTCGCCTGAGTGACCACCACTCTGCCTGTCGGACACAAGCAACTCTGTGTATACACACTAAAATATATATTTTACAGTATTCCTAATGTTTCTGTACTGATGACTTGGCAGCTAAATGACCCACGTGCAGCTGATAGGCCTTAACCCTAACAAACTAACATATTTATATTATTATATTCAAAGTGCTAATCCCAACAAACTGATGAAGTACAAGTGCTACACTAAATTGAGAGAGAGATTTATTGTAGCATTTTATGATTCTGTTTATCCTAAAACTGAATTATGAGGGTGGGCAGCATGTAGCACATTTGTTCAGCATGGTCTTCTGTCTTGCTTGGCATCATGGGACATTACCCCATTACCCCAATTCTCCTTCTCCTTTTGGCTTCATTAATGGGGATGTTTCCCCTTTTTGTGAAATTCAGCTCCTAGATGCAATTAGAAAGGATCACTATTAATCCTGTTCTAATGTAGCTTCTGTTGTAATATGGCAGTGGCTTTATCACTCCACCTGATGGAAATTGTATTATCTTAGGGCATGACTCTAATAAGACACTGGTTTGCCATTTAGTAGGGCTTCTGGAGGAATATTACTGGAGGTTGCCTAGTGGATCCAGGAATAGCAACTGAAAGTGCATGACTCTTGGTATTTTTTCCAATTTGCCCTCTGCCATTTTTGCAATTAGTGTTCTTGTCTACACAGGCAATTTTGCTAGCCTTGCTAAGTCACTCTTGGAGGTGCCATTCTGGTATTGTGCACAAGATAGGGTAAGAGATGGTTTCCAAGGAACAACAGCACGACCTGTTGCAGCAGAGATGACCAGGGTTGAGGATGGATATGTAGTTTCTTTTCATAGCTATCCCCCATTCTCTGTTTTTACCTAATGGTATTTGAGAAATTTGTTTATTCTCTTTGTTCCTAAGTGACTGCAGCAACCTCTACCGACCCCTGCATGGCATTGTTCCTCTTCAGAGCTTGGAATTACTTTTGAGCAATCCTTATTTGATTCTGGTGTTTTGATATGTTTGACCCTTGCATGACCTTGACCATGGACCCAGCTTCACCTACAATGCAACAACAATTGGCTGATCATATGCACAAAAGGCAGAGAGGCTTGAAGACCCACATATCTGCTACACTCATTTCCTTAAACATTTTCAGTCACATTCTCATATGGTGGTGTACACTATGTGCTTAATTGTCCACTTGTTGAGGATATAGAGACGGTAGTATAATAATCTATGTGATGTGTCAAGATATACTTTCGTTTTTCCTTTTGGGCCACCCTGCCTCAGTGGGATGTGGCCTGTTTGTTGAAAAAAGAAAGATGTCAGGATATCTTATTAATTAAAATAAGTTACCAGACATATTAAGCAGATTTCCTAAATTTGTTTGCAACAGATAAGTCAGTTGTAGATGTAAGTCCAGATGTACTCTTCTTAACCTTTTTGGGGCCTAGTCCTAGGCCTTTTGTGCATCCATATGCTCCTATGCTACCGTCCATAGGACGGATATGGGATGTCCAAAAAAACTAGCTGCTTTGACAGCAAAATCTAATAAAAATGGTCTGAATTTGAGGACAAATTGTTTTCCTTTAAACAAATTCCTGGCCATCATCTTCCCAGTGCTGTTAGGCATGGGTAGCTCTACTAATTCACCATTTATTAATAGACCATCCTATCAGACAGCATGCAGAATTTACTTTTGACATTTTTGAATGCCCTGATGCAGTTATTTAACTGCCCTCCTGCAGTAAATTTCATCTCTGGCAGACTCCCTCTATGATTTTGAACAAACTAACCTAGCATACCAACCAGGATCTTAATTTTGCACCTTTAACCTTCACTTCCACCGGTACCTAGTACTGACCTCAAGACTTGAACGTCTGTTCTTTCTGATCCATATGGGTTTAGCACATTTTTGAATATAATATATAATATTCATTAATTAGATTTGCAGTTTTTGTAATAATTATTATAAATTATATGCAGTTTAAAATAATGAAGGAATAGAATGAAAAGTTAAAATTTTTAAACTTACAATATTAGTACCATACATTTAATAAATATTTTTGGGGGTAACTCAGTTTCAGGCCCATTTAAAGAATATCTGTTAAAGACTGGCATGAAGTTATGCATTATTTATAAATATTTTTCAACAAAGAGGTATTAATATTTATCTTTTGATAGGCTCAGAAGAAGACCAAGAAGCTACAGAGATGTTGGTGGGTAATGCACAGAATCTCATGCAATCAGTAAAGGAGACTGTGCGTGCTGCTGAAGCTGCATCAATCAAGATTCGCACAGATGCTGGAATTAGGCTACGATGGGTCCGCAAACAACCATGGTATCAATATTAAATATATATTTGCTAAACATTTTTAGTAATGTATATCATGCAGAAATTATTCTATATTTGTGTCAGAATACCTACCAAAAATAAATATTTTGCACAATTTATCATAGGGTAGAATTTCTGAATACTAAATATAACTGAAAAGAATTAATTTACTTTGGCTAAAAAATATATTAAGTTTTTTATTTTAATGAAAAAACTGAATGCTTTGTTAAAATACATAATCATTATTTCCATCACTTAAAAAATATCAGTAGCTGTAAATCTTTACCAACATCATATATGTAATTTTTATGGATATTAATTACCTTATATTTTTATTTTCCCATTGGCCAAGATAATCAATGCTTGTGCATGAAGTGTTTGCCTTCATATTGCTATATAATTTTGTAAGACCAGTAAGAGTAATATTACATTTATTTTGCAATAGCATGTTGTAAATAGTAACAGTACCAGTGATACTACTTGCATACATGGCAAAACAGAAAGATCACAATTATATACCAAAAAAAGTAACATTGAAAGGATACTCGAGTATATTTCTTAACAAATAGTGAATGGGATCCAGGAGGAAGTAATGTGAATGGGATCCAGGAGGAGGTAATGTTTGCTACAGCTACACTACTGGAAACAAAATAGGAGATAAACTACACACTAAAGATGGGACAGTACAATAGCTGTTAGCATAAAACTTCTCTACAACTGCAAATATGTAATCATGTACATCATGACATCTATTGCAACTATTGGTAGGCAGTTCAATTATCTCTAAATTTTAAATTTTATTTTAATAATGAAGATGATATACAATAAATATTCCTTTATTCCTGTAGCCACAAATAGATAATTTAAAATAGGTGCAATAATTATACTGTATTTACTCAAGACTGAAAGCATTGGATTGCTCTCATTGTTAGGAGAAAGATAAAATATAACCACAAGAGCTAATAAAGGTATGAGAGAAAACAGGGAAGATATTTTTAAATCTGAACCAGGAGGTAAATTAGGCAAAACGGATAATGGAAATTAACTCACAAATTGAGTGACAATTGTAATTGTAACTACATAAGGTGTTATATTAATAGGGAAGTACTAAACCCCCCAAAATTATATAGCATTCAAATGGGAGGTAAATAGGTTTGATTCAAAGAAGGAGAGGGTAACTCTGATACCTTGGATCAAAAGTCCTTCAGTATCAAGGCACCCCCTTGAATGGTAACTACAAATATCTACAGTAATAAGTAATCTCTCAGTCATTTTAATTGTAAAAGACATGGATGGGAGGTGAATACCCAAAGAAGTCTGATGTATATTAAAAAGAGCATTTTCTAGTGTATGACAAGTGAAAAGTGGTAAGACCTGACTATATTTGGACTTGAAAGTAGGTATAGTAAAAAACCATTGGGCTTAAAATCAACTGTCAGTTAAGTGAAGGTTATGTGCATAAGTTGCAGTTGAACATCTGGAAAGAATAAGAGTGTACTGTACACACAGTGCATACAAGAGGAATTGTCTTCCTCCTTAATCTCCAAGGCCACTCATGTTTGCATTCAGTGTTGCTAAATATTCTCAGGTGTTTATTGATCATTGAAGAGGATATAAGGTAACTGAGGTTATATAATATCTTATGCATTGATTTCTAATCAGTTTTGTTCTATTGTAACTGAATACAGTACACACTGCCTTAATATTGTGTAACTAATGCCCGTAAATATTTTGAAATATTTACAGCTGGCAAACTAAAGTAATTAGTTACAGTGATCTCTAAACTGGTGAAATGGTAGAAAGAATTAATTAAAAAATAATGTGGAAAATTAAAATATATGATTTTATTTTCAAGGGATTTCCTGGTAATGCTTTGTATCATAAGTTAGTCCTCAACAAATGACTTGATCCATAGTGCTTATTACATGTTCACCTTGCCACATTTATCAAACTGAACATGACTTAAAACTTGTCATATAGGAGCACCTCAGTCTATCACAAAAGGTGGTCACTCATGATAGTTGTACCAGGTAACTGTCCAGAATTTGCTTTAAATTGTGCCAAAACAGTTGTCTTCCTTTATGCAGGAGAGCTGTATGCAAACTCACATCAAAGATGCTATTTTATGTTAATAACCAAGACTTTAATGTAATGCAGAAAAAATTATTTTGATAGTATGTACAGTAATTATGCAAAGTTTTCTAGACCAGTAGCTAGTCGAGGCATTTTTGTTCCACCCACATGTGCTGATGCTTTTGTGTGTCTGCACAATACGCCATGTATTGAAAGTCCAGGGATTTATATATTTACACTTACAGTTGCGGGATTAATTTATTCTTATGTCGCCTGATATATTCAGGGAAACACTGCCATATCTATATAATTTGCTGTAAATTAAAAATCTATGGAATATAATGGCTAAATTTAAATAACTTTATGGATAGTATAGGTATCTAATTCAGTAGTATCTATCATCTTAGGAAATGCTTCAGAACTTTTGTCTTGGTCTTAATTTAAATATAAGTAATTAGTACAGACTGCTTTTCTGGAGTAGTAGACGTGCAATATTAAACCAGGCATGTCCCTGCCATACACTGTGTAATGAACTGTTACTTCAGATAATGTCAGTCTTGTGACTATCTTGCGCACAACTAACTGATTATTTAGCTTAAGATGTGACTAATGTCTATTTGGTGCTTGAAAGTATTCCATCAAGAAAAATTTCTATAGAAACAATGAAAATTAGTTTAAAATAATTCTGCTCATTGATTTAGGTTTAGGTGGAACTAATAAGGGTATTCATCTTAAGAGCTTGTTGATACATCAGTTTTGATTGTTTGTAATCATTTGAGTGCCTTTATGCTGTAATTAAAATTATTTACCATGATGTGAATAGTCAGAATGTTTTATAAGACTTTATATAAAACCAGAATGAATTTACAAAATTGCAGACCTGTTAATAAAATGGTCAGTCATTAATGTTCCTACTTTAATTCAGATACTGTTATCTATTCATATATCCTTACTCTTGCAATGCTCTAGTGAATTAAGATGCACTTACAATCACATGGATGCCTTACAATGTTGAAGCACTGATGGCCACTGGGAATGGAAGACCTAAATATCATTTAGTTATAAATTTGCATTAGTTGTATTTGTATCTTGCTTGATTAGGTATTTTTCACTCTCAGTGACAGTGCTTCTGTCGTCCGCATTTGTGGTTGCACATGTGAAGAGATCTTAGCATGATTACTGAAAATTCAAGTGAATTTCATATTTTGAATTTTACTTGAGGGTCACAGGTCAGTTTATGCTTTGTTCTTTTCAGATTTCTAAGTCCACTTACTGTTTTGGTTGCATTTTAAATCTGTCACCTGCAGATTCTAAATATTTTATAAAAGAAAACTATACTGATTAAATGTTACTAGTGTATATTGTGTTTCACTTTGCAATAATATTTAAAAAGAAAAAAATCATAATGGTGAGTTCCAAGGGTAGCTACCTATGAGTTAAAGAACAAGGAAAGACATGGACCACACAGATTTGTAAAAGGAGGAGTCAGTAGTAAGAAATTGCAAGAACAGAAAGATAGTGGGCTAAGGAACGTAGAGGGGCACTGATTAAAACCGTTAGCTTTAAAAGCGTCCACAATAGCTCCATAGGGCGTTACAGCTCTGTATGACCCTAGTGGGTTGAATGCTTAGTTATGATTGTGGTAATATAGGTCATAAGATTATGAAGGCCATGAAAACAAGGTAAAGATAGGGAGCATCTCAGTGATTCCAGAATAAAGGTATGTTCAACTGCATACAGGCTATCAACTGGAAGTAACTGGAAGGACCCTCAGATACAAACACAATCCTTGGGAAGTGGTCCCTTAACCCTTTCAGGGCCCGTGCCATAGATCTACGGCTTTACGTTCAGGGTCCAAACCGTAGATCTACGCCATGAGCTCAGTTCACTCTGATAAGCTGCGAGTGGTAAATATGGGCCTAGATATGAGAGAATACATCTATGTGGTATGTGTGCACCACATAAAACAAATCCTGCAGCACAGTGTATAATGAGAGAAAAAAAACGAGACCGTGTTTTTCGATTAAAACAGCGACTTTGCAGTGTTTTTTCGTATGCTTTTTATAGTTGTATTTGCGATTTCTTGGTCTCATTTGATAGAATGGAAAGACATATTACAGAAACAGAGATGATTTTGATTGGTTTTAGCACTGGAAATGGCTTGAAACTGAGCTCAAACTAGCGGAAATGTTAAATTTTTGCCGATGTTCAAGAGTAAACAAACGACCTCACACCTCTAATACACACCAGCTGGTGGATCTAATATACATTCACAAATGTGGTGATGATATTTATACAATTATTACAATATTGCATAACAGTAAACCTTCTATTTTTTAGTTTGAGTAAAAATTCATTATGTGAATAAAAAATCAAAATGGAATTCATTTGTAAAGCCTCAAAACATAACTAATGAACAGAGGAAATGTTAGTTTAGTGCCAGGTATACCTACATTGTTTATTCTGGACCCTGCTGTATAGTCCTTGTGGCTTAGCGCTTCTTTTTGATTATAATAATAATATTCTGGACCCTATTTTGAAATTGGAATATTTTGAACTTTGTGTTAAATTGGCCAAATTACCAATTTCCGATCACTTTATTTTGTAGTTGAAACAGTTGACTTGGCGATATCTTGTGCTCAATTGATAGAATAGAAGTAATACTAGTGAAATAGCTAAGAATTTGGTCGACTGGAATAATGTAATTGGCCTAAAATGGGAGTCAAAGTCAGCAAAATCGCCTATTCGTAAATATCGCTGACACAAAATTCGCGAAAAAGATTCTCAGCCATCTCATAAGAAAAAAATAAAAAAAATTTTTATTTTTGAAAATTCTTGGACCCTGGTGTGCACTTTGAAATTTGGCTTCTGGACCCTGAAAGGGTTGATCTGACTTTTCTAGTGCTCTTGACCTTGGGACCACTGGTAACAGTGATGGTCCCAGTTAAAATCCCAACAAACTGTTTTCCGTAAAGCTGCAGTTGGGTTTCTAGGCATGTCCTCTCACTCCTATCGGGTATGAGTAGCAGCTCTCTCATGATTTTGCACAGGGAATAACTCATATAGACACATGAGGGCAAGATGCCTAGCACTTCTGCAGGACTTTTGGGTCATACTATCAGTTTATCATACTAGTATTAGACTGTCCTATCTACCAGAGCCTTTTTGCACTGACTTCCTTGCCCATCACCTTTAATGTAAACTCATTATGACTATGTAACTGGAATTAACCTACTGCACCAGTATTTTTTGCACTTGTGTTAATCCTCAGTTCCACTAACAGCTAATGCTCTTCTACCCCTTTCCCCACCAATGCAGTGCTGTATGACCACAGGGGTATAGCATTTTTAACAATATTGCAGTCCCTGATGAACTGCATCAAGCCTTGAAAGAGTACCTGCAGAAATAAAGAAATATACCTTGTCCCCAATGTCTAGTTTGGACAAGCTTTAGACTGAGTAAAGTTTTTCTGTCAAGTCCTCAGTAAATATAGGATAAAATCTTAATTAAATTCAACCTATTGTGACTCCTTTTAGAAAAGCAAAGTAAGTTTTTCATGACAAAGCAATATAAAAGTAAGATAAGAAATTTAACATTTTGATGAGCTGTAATAAGCAAACTATATCGGAACAGTGAGACTGAAAACCTTTTAAGAAAGTAATACACTAGAACATGTTTTAGAGAGAGAACTGTAATTGTCATGAGGAGGCTCAGCCTGTGAGGCCTTGATGAAGATGAATGTACCAGCACAAGCTATGGAAAAATCATTCACATACACAGAAGATCAGATCTCATGAAAGAACTATAACCCTTGTAGGTTTAGTGCTTCTTTTTGATTATAATAATAATCACGAAAGAACTGAAGTCCATTAATGGCAATTATAAAGTGGTGCCGAGTTACTGATTGGGACCAAAAGCACCTGTGCTAATATCTGAAAAAGTAGTAGGAAGCCCCATATTAAATAAAAAAAAAAAAAAAAATTCCTTCACATTTTATTTTTATTCCCCTCAAGGGAGGTTCCTTGACGCTGGTGAGGGGCTCTTGATCTAGGGAATTGGATTTGTGTTCTGGTTCCCTGAATCGAGCCTGAATACCTCCTATCCCCCCCACATGCGCTGTATAATCCTATGGGTTTAGCGCTCCCCCATGATTATAATAATAATAATTTATTTTTATTAACACAACAGCCGCTTCCCACCAAAGTAGGGTGGCCCGAAAAAGAAAAACTTCAATCATTCATTCCATCACTGTCTTGTCAGAGGGGTGCTTACACTACAGTTATAAAATTGCAACATTAACACCCCTCCTTCAGTGCTGTATGACCCTAGTGGGTTTAGCACTTGGTTCTGATTATAATAATTCTTCACATTATTTTTATTATAATCATAACTAAGCACAATTGTTAGCAATTTGGATCCAACATGCCCATACATTCACTAAGGCTTAGAATAAAATGTGATGTCATAAACATTTTGAAAGTGAAAAAAAAAAAAAAACTTACCAAAGGTAGCCCCTGCAGGCTAACTTTGTTGATGCCTTAGATTACATTGGATGGGACTTCCCTTGCCAGAGTAGCCACTGTGGAGAAAAGATGCTTCTATGGTGAATGGACAAGTAAAACAGAAACCTCAGCTTGACCTCTCCTGAATCAGTTGGTTAGTCATAAGCAGCGCTGTATAACCCTGGTAAGTTTAGCGCTTCCTTTTGATTATAATAATAATAACGGTTAGTCATGAATCACTCCCTCACAGTCTGGTGGCAGGTTGTGTGCTGGCCAGCGTATGTATTCATTTACCTGTATGTGAACAATTTCACTATCAATTGCACTGGTTATGGCCTTTTTACAGAACTCCACTGACTGCAAATATTTCCAGCTGGAGATTCATTCACTGCTTAGAAGCACAACCCCTAAAGGGAGGTTCCCTGATGTTGGTGAGGGGCTCTTGATCTAAGGAATTGGACCTGTACTCCAATTCCTTGAATCAAGATGAATGCCTTCCATTCCCCCAGGCACTGCATGACCCCTACAGGTTTAGTGCTTCCTCATGAATGTAATAATTAAATGCACAAAAAATACACTGAAACATATGTAATGGAAATACACTAAATGAACAATACCATTCGCATCACAAAGTTTATGAAAAAAGAACATATCAAAACAGAGACCTTAAAAAATGAAACTCTGTCTATTACCCTCCCTTTCCTTTGATTGAATCTGATTGCCTCATATTTTCCTGGTGATATATAACTCTTATGTGTTTAGTGTTTCCCCATGGTTAGAAAATGATACTTTCAGCACAGAGTTCAAAGCCAATTAAAGGAGCTTTTTGAATTGCACAGAATCCCTTGCAGGGTTTCTTTTAATGATTTTTTTTTTTCATAAAATATGGTTAACCCATTTATAGGTAATTCATTTATATCTAATACCTCCATCCCTAAAAGCTTAGAAAATTAAGTTTAACTCAAACTTTGTTTTATGAGCTTTATTTGTTACGTTCAGCACATCCCCTGGCCTTGAAGAAAGTCGTGATCTTTATAATGGTCTCCCCTCAAGGGAGGTTCCTTGATGCTGGCCCCTCAAGGAAGGTTCCTCGATGTTGGTGAGGGGCTCTTGATTTAGGAAATTGGATCTGTGCTCCAGTTCCCCGAATTAAGCCTGAATGCCTTCCACATCCCCCCCCCCAGGCGCTGTATAATCCTCCAGGTTTAGCGCTTCTCCCTTGATTATAATAATAATAATCCTTGATGCTGGTGAGGGGCTCGTGATCTAGGGAATTGTATCTGTGCTCCAGTTCCCTGAATTGAGCCTGAATGCCTTCCGTCCCCCCCCCCACAGGCGCTGTATAATCTTACGGGTTTAGTGCTCCCCCATGATAATAATAATAATAATTTATACTGTTCTGCTTCAATGGCATGAGTTAGACAGACTTGGTTTTCAATAAAAAGATATTTCTTTTGTTTACCTTTACCTTGGTTTGGTGCACCACAATTAAAAAGTTAATTATTTCCAAGAGGCAATATTTTTAATAGCAAACAATAAATGGAGAGTTGCACCACTGCCAACACAACTCATATACACTTCAAATGTCAGTGGCCAATTAACCTTTTAGTTTGTTACTCTGGGGCACAACACATTTTGGAATGTAGGATGCTGTCATTTCATGGAAAAAATATTAAACCTTTGCCGAAAATACAAAATTACATCGTATAGAACCTTTGTTTTGCCACAGTGGTGATGCCAAGGGAGTGGGGGCTTGGGGGGGTTTCAGCCCCTCCCCTATAATCTCTTTCAGCTCTTCCATAGTTTTCCCTGTGATAAAAGTAATGTTATTCAAAGAATTCTTTAGTATAAATCTCT